CAAAAAATTGGCATTAGGTACGAAAATATCTTATTTCAATCATTATTTTGAACAATCTCTTTCTCAGTCTCATATGTCAGACAATGAGAACTTCGAACCCTACAAAAAAAAAGGTTTTGGGATGGTCAAACGGAAATTTCTTGACAAAATTAAAGTAGCATATAGCGCATGGAGAAAAAAGAAGAAGAAGAAGAAGAAGAATAAGAAAGGAGAAATCTTATGATATGGGTCAATGTGGAGAATTGAGAATTAAGAGATATGGTTGATTGAGTGGAAAAATGGAAAAAGAGCAAAGATGGAGTGGCATGTCAGATTTGTGGGGGGAATGGAGAAAACAAAGCGTGTGGGGGAAACGGCGAAAAAAAAAATTTGAATTTTGACGACAATAGTAAATCGTGACACATAGTGTGCCAAAGTTTTGCCTATTTTATTTTATAGTGATAAATGAATGTGTCGGACATAATTTTGATATATTTTGTGAATGAAAAGTTTAGGAAAACCTTTCATATTTGAATTCATCTTCAGAATGGTCAAATGTTGTATTTCTGATTTTTAGCTATCAAAAATAATATGTAAACCTTTCCATAATGCATGTAAGACAAAGGTAAACCTTCCATATTGTTCAATAGTTTCCTCCCACAATGCATATACGTCCAAAATAATGAGAAACCCTCTAATAACCATTCGTTTGGATATAGATTTTTAAATAAGTTATAAATTCGGTTAATGTTAAATATTGATTTCAAATTTCAATTACACATTCATAACTATTTATTATTATTCAAATTTCGTGAAACACACTAATATTTATCTTTATAAATCATTATCATATGTTTCAAACGAAGGCTAAGTTCGAACATAGAGTTGCATCTACAATATGACCATGGGACACGATACTATTCATATATTTCGTATTTATTCAACATCTTTTATCCAATCAATCATGCTATATGTACATCTTCTACATCATCTTTTACATGATGTCACGTGACAATACACCATTGGAAGATTTTAAAAAATAAGAAAAATTTCCTCTAATTGTCTTTTAGCGCCCCCATCAAATGTTATTGAGGATGTACATTCAAAGTGTACATCTAGTATTCTTATCCAATGACTGATTTTTTACCAACATGAGAATCTTTATTCAGACATATCATGGCTTTTGTACCCAAATTTTGGGCCCCAGTTTGTGCGCACTGATAATTAGTCCTATCAATTGTTTACAAACCTGTATAGAATATACACGTTTGTTCTTAAAATTCTTCAATCCAAAAAAGCACAGATATTTGAGATTAAAAGGTGATGTGACATAAGATAATGGGATGCATAAAACCATTTCAGTTTCATGCTATAGTTTGCAATCATTATGCACTATTACTTATCCTGTCCTGTTCTGTCCTGTCCTGTCCTATCCTCGTTATAGAGTTCATGTCTATCTCATTCAAAACAAAATTTATTTACCCAATTACTGTATACAGAAATACACTTATTTTGCCCTAATTGACATGAAATCACAGTCTTGACTAATCATAATTTACAAATTCTCATAATGACAAGTCTAACTGAACTTTGTCGGTGGATGAAACTCGAAAGAGACAAATAAGATAAGAGCATATATGCCGATGATATGGTACTATTAGAGATAACACCAAATCGTAGCACTTAGCTGTAGATAAGAGTTTTTTTTAACATGATTATATCTATCATTTGTTGTAGATATTGTGTACTGAGTTGTATAGCAAGTGAATCTCTTCAATGAATTTTCAATGATGTTCATTCTTCTTGCTTTGACTCGAAGAAAAATCCGAATTTTTTTTTTCTTTTATGAAAGAAGTCTTGTGTTTTGCCTCCTAAAATTTTCCTATAATGTCTCTCCTAGAATTTTATGTACAATGGTATGTAATCATTTCCCTTTATTTGATCTAAGGGTCCGTTTGATTGTAATAGTGAAATTTGGGTGTAAAGAAAATGAATTCTAAGAAATTGAATTACCTATAATTATTTTTCTGAAAATTGTCAATTAATTATGTTTGATTAGTATAATTTTTCACGTGTAAAATATTGAAATTTTGAATTTTTTGGTGTTTGTTTGACTTTATTTTACATGAAAATTGTCTATTAAATGGATAAAATTTATTTTCGTTACTAAAAAAAAAAAGTGGAAACCCATTTTTCCCACCAAAGTGGTGGGAAAACAAATTAAATGAAAACCAAGAAAAGTAGGTCACATGACGGTTGGGAAGAAAACCAA